AGAAATAAAAATTAAGAATGAAACATGCTTTAGCTTCTTTCTAACCTCAAGATCATTGGCAGAAGCCACAAGGGAAGAATGACACCCCTCAAACCCAATTTTCTCCAGGGAGTAAATTTCTACAAAACCTTTTGGGAACTGCTCCAAACAATTACAAGATCTTAAGACTAAGTGACTGAGCATCGGAAAGTGATCCCAGCTTACTACCCACTGCTCGAGTTCTTTAGCTTCAAGGAGCAAGAATATCAATCGAGGAAATCCTCTTTTAGCTATTGCGGTCCATACTTTACCATGGAAGGCATTTTCCAACTTGAGCACCATAAGCTCAGGTAACATGGCAATTGCATTTAAACCCCTCTCAGAAATATTAGTCCCACTCAACTTCAACTTTTTTAGTCTTGAAGGATACATACAATGTTCTGGAAGTGCTGCATTACAACCAATAGAAATAGAAATGCTAAGCTTCTTAAGCCCTTCCAAATAGTCAAAATGATCCAAAGTAATAGGATTGCTGCAAGATCCTCAAACGTGACTGGGCTCTATGTCATCCTTCAGGAAAATTTTCAGATTTTTTTATGTTAGGGAATTTGTTGTACATCTCTTTTTTGCAATGAATTGGTCTCGCCACCCAAGATAATGTTTGTAAATTCTTTTTATCTGCACTTGGAGGATCTACCATATATGAATTTCCAAGTTTAAGATGCCTTAATTTTGGCGGCTTCCAAATACTGGATGGCAAATGGACTGTTGGTGCTCCACTACTGGAACAACAAGTGTCTCTAAATTTGGATTATTTAACACTACATCATCCAAATCCTCGAACCATTGTGTTATGGATAGGTATCTCAGAAAAACTAAACCCCCTAATTGCATCGGCACTCTTTGAAGTGATCATTGCTGGAAATTATGGAATTTCCGACCACTTGAAAGTTATCTTAAATCAAGTTGAAGCCCTTGTTCCAACCACTTTTGGTATCCGGAAAAACCTTTGTTGCTATTTCCGACTACTTTTTGCTTTCGACTTGATTTAAGATCACTTTCAGGTGGTCAGAAATTCCATAATTTCTAGCAGTGGATATAGAAGTATCAAAAGCAAAAACTCTTAACAGATTGAGAGGAACAAACATTTCAGGACTTTCATGAAGGGGGAAAATGGAGCGAGGGATATTTGTACTAAAGAGAACATAATAGTCAAAACTGTGTGAATATACACTTAGCCAACACCATGAATTTGCAAATGCATCCAATGATAATCCTGAATGTTGTCGAGTATGTAAGTGTAAAAAATGCTACACATTAACCCACTTAAAATTGGCTTAAATTAGTTGTCAAAATAGTTAGTAGTTTAGTTGCTGGATTAGTCTAGCATCTGGAGTAGTTGGTCTGGATCAGCGCAAGGAATTAATCCAGAAGAAGGGAAAACTCCTTCAACTCTTTATTTCAGTCAAGAACCTATTCACAAGGTGATTTAAATCATGAGGAGCAGCTGATTTTGAGGAATTAAAGGGTGAAGAAATTCGGATCATGAAAGCCTTACATCACATCTATAAAATGCTACTTTGTTTAGCATTTAAACTTGCACTTTAACAAGCTTATACACTGAGATTATTCCTCCCCTTGATCTGGTTATTTACTAAACTGCTACGAGTGAAGAAGGTGCCTCAACGAGTTCATGAAGTGAAGAAGATCGCCTGCATATCAAGTCCGCTGGAGTAGGTTCTGGAGTAGTTGTAGTTTATGCTCTAGTGTGTAACGTACTCTCCTTTTGTACTCATGTTTATTATAGTGGATGGGTTGATGTGAGTGGCCTCACAGATGTAGGAGTGAGGCTCCGAACTGCGTGAACATATCTTGGTGCACGGAATCTTTTATTGCTTTTATGTTTTTGTTCTTTATTCTGTCTGGAGTAGTCCTGGAGCTAGTCCAGCGTAATAATTTAATTAAAATTAATTAGGAACCTTTAGGCTTTTCTTGCATTCAAGACCCACGGGCCTTTTTCAATTGGTATTAGAGCCCGGGGACTTAAAATATTAGTCTAATCGATTTGGCTTACTCGTGTTTCTTGAACTCAAGATCTCGATTTTTGTTTTTTATTCTACTTTTCTGTTCAATCTTCTTTGGCTTACTGTGCATTGAGTTTTGCAGAATGGAACGACGTAGAGCACCTCCTGAATTAACAGGTGACAACTATGCGTACTGGAAGGATCGTACCAAAATGCACTTACGAGCTCATGTGGAGATGATCTGGAGGGCAGTTCTCACTAGGTGGACTCATCCTACCAAAGATGCAGCCACTTCAGGAACCCCTCTAGTTCTCAAACCAGAAACATAATGGACAAATGCTGAGATGACTACTGCAAACTACAACAATAAAGCCTTAGATATTATTTATTCTTTAATGCATGAGAGTCAGTTTACCCTTATTACAAGTTGTGACTCTACCAAAGACGCATGGGAGACTTTGGAAACTACCTATGAAGGAACTAACTCAGTCAAGCAGTCCAAACTCCAAATGGTCCAATCTGACTTTGAAAATCTAAAAATGACAGAAGACGAATCAATAGTTGATTTTCATGCCCGTGTTCAGGAAATAGCAAATCGTGCAATCGTTCTAGGTGAACCTTTCTCTCAACCTAAACTTGTCAAAAAGATCCTGCGCTCACTCTCTCCACGATTTAGAATGAAGGTCACGGTAATTCAAGAACATGACGGGTGGGAGAACAAAACAGTAGCACAATTAATGGGAAACTTGCAAACTTATGAGATGGAAATACTCTCTGACCAACCCAGAAAAAGAAGTACATTGCCTTTACAGTTGAAGAACATGAGTCTGTATCTGATCCAGACGAGGTAAATGATGATCCATTTGATTTTTTAACTAAACAATTTTCGAAGCTTTTGAAACAGGTGAAACAGATGATCAACTCTCAAAATGGAAAGTTTCAAAACTAGAAGGGGTCAACATCAAATGCATCACGTAACAACCAAAAAACTGGACCATCTAATAGTCGTCTATCACGAAACAATCAGTCTAGGGAGAAATCAAGTGGAAAAGGCATTAGGTGTTATGAATGTGAAGGGTTCGACCATGTTCTAGCAGAATATTCAACATACCTAAGGCGTAAGAAGTCGATGAAGGTAGCTCTAACTTGGAGTGATGATGACGAACCTGAACCTAATCCTGACCCAGGATCTGATCCAGAAGAGATCTCCGGTAACCTTGTGGCATTCACTGCAATAGCCAATATGGAGTCTAACCTAGAAACTGAAGTAGACTCAGAAGCTGAGGAATATGTGTCGGCTGAAGACCATGATTCACCTGTTCCCTCATTTGAAGTAAATGTTGGAAAAATAGCTTAAAATGGCATGTTAAGTGGCTATTTTGTGGTACAATTATCAGTGGGGTCCACTTCCGATTTGGGTTGGGTCAAAGTGGATTCAGATTCTTCGTAGTGAGGCGGAGAGATCGATATATTGTAAGCTCAAAACGGATAATGGGTGAATGAGATATTGATTCTCAAAGTAGACCCATTTGAGTTGGAAAATGAAGGGAAAGAGTGAGATTTTGTCCCACATTGGTTTGGAAAGAGGATTTTCCCCCTTATATACAAGAGCTCTTTTGAAGCTTGTAGAATTGTATAGCATAGAGGCTCTCTCGCGCGCGGGAGGGGGGGGGGGGTGCAAATCAAATTCCAACTAGACGAGATTGAAAAAGGCTTGATTCAAGCCCGAGCTCGTGTGCGCCGGCACCTGCGGGCGGCACGAATGTCGTCCGGAAATTGGTTGGCCTTGCGGGCTAAGTTATGCCAAACTTCGGCTAAAACCGAGAGCACGAGAGGTTGTGGTGCACCGAGAGCACAACTTTCGTGCAACGGTGACCACGAGAGGTGTAAAGGCCGAAACTGGGTAAGGTCGAAAGTTGAGACCGAACCCTGCACGCCAACGGTCTGGAACCCGAAAGTTCTGACTGTTATGGAGATTGAATTCATCTGTTACGGAATTAATATCCTATTAACTCCAATTTTGAATTCTGAATTCAACACCCAGGTAGTGGCCTGCTGTTATAGCTGTTGGAAGTCAGCTTTAATGTCAGTTTTCATTGCCATATTTAAAGCTATTGACTCCTCCACCCTATATAAGAGAGGCAGTGAGAAGCAGATTTTTACACACAAGAGCACAAGCACTCTACACGAAACTTAGACTTTTCAAGCCTCAAAATTCTGCTTCTACTCCTTCTCTTTCTAAGCCTACTGTGTTCAAAACCTTGTCTTGCTCGCCGGATTCTTTGTTTGAATGCTCAAACATCGAATCATAGCAAGTTTTATCCTGGGAAGCCTAGGCCACAACGCTCCTAGCATCATTGGGAGGTGGAAAATAAGGTTTTAAGGAAAGACTGATCGCTTGACTCCTGCAAAAACCCAATACCAAACACGAGCCAAAATTCTCCATCTTTCCTTCCCTTGTTTTCCAGAAAATAATAATCCTATTTTTGATTATTATTTGTTTTTTCTACCAACGGATCCAACAGTAAAATATAAAAAGTTGTATGCAAAACGGGAAATTCTTGTAAAAGTAAATAGATCCCTGTCTAGTCAAGTCGGTAATCTAGAGAATGCTAGGAAAGTGTACAAAAATCAAATTACTGACAAGGACAACATCATCAAAGACGGGCTCAAACGCGAAGAAGAAATCAAACAAGAGTTGGACATGCTCAAAAGGAGAATTAAAATGATGAACAACACTTCCACCCTCGACCAAATCTTGGATTCTGGAAGGACAACATCTACCAAGTATGGTTTAGGTTTTTCTGGTGGAAAAGACAAGGCTGTGACAGTTTTTGTAAAAGCTTCTGACTCTGACTCAGCACCTGGACCAGATTCGGATACTCGAGAAACTAGTACAACGCGGGAAAGGTTTGGTAATGTAAGACGTGACAATCCAAAATTTAAATTCTATAACCCTATTTGTCATTATTATAGGGTTCGTAGCCATAACAGACCTGAGTGTTTTTACTTTTATAAAGATCAAAGGCGTGAGAAGTACACCCACAAACACATTGCACCATTTGTAAAACAAGTGTGGGTTAGGAAAGCAGATTTTATATCCAGTTAACTCCAATCGCATCTCAAGGGAAACTAGCAGAAGACAGAGGAATTGGATTAGAGAATCTGTAAATACAAGATTGAAGGGTCATCATCGAAATAAAACCAGGTATTTTATAATTTAATAAGTTATTTTTTTAAAAAAAAAATTGTTTTGCTCACTGTTCCAGATCCAGAAGAATTGCTAGCCTAGTCTAGAAAATATTAATCCTAATTCTCTAATTGCTGACTTGGAGAGTTCAAAAAATCTGAAATTGTGGTACCTTGTTCTACTCTCTCCTCTACTAGTGGTGGTATTTCTTCAATACCAAGTTCAATTCCTATCTTTTTTATTTTTCTCGTTGTCTTTTGCACTGCATAGTTCTATTTTGCCTGAATTATCTTGTTTTGTCTTCTTTGACTGGTTCTATGTGTTCATTAAATGTCAATCTTTGGTTTAATCGATTTTGTGTGATTGTACCCTCGAATTTTTTTGTTCCAGTTATGCTTGCTGCTAATCTTGTCCAGTCTGGTTTTGTGTCAGTTTCTGCTCTAGAATTCTCTATTACTATCTCTGCTTCTATCTCTACTCCAGGAACCTCTGATCTAGTGTCTTTATCTACATATTCCTATGCTTTGATGTCTAAATTTGAAAATGCTATTTTTTTAATGTGATATGTAATTGTTTCTGTGTGTTATGTGTTTAGTCCGGTCATGACCGTGTCTGTTTTTTTTTTTTTTTTTTTTTTTTTTTTTTTTTTTGTACTTTCTGTGCTACGTGTAATGAATTTGTGCCTGAATATGCTTTATATGAATCTGTGCCTGAATATGCTTTATATGAATTTGTGTCTAAATCTGTTTTACCTGGTTGTGTCTGGTTTTTTTGCTAATATGTTTATTTTGTTTGATCCAATATGAATTTTCTTGATTTGTTGTTTTGCTGAGTTGTTTGCAAGTTAATGTGCCTTGTTCTAGGTTTCTTGTTTCTTTTTAGCTTGTGCAGGCTCATATGGCAAATTCTTTCTGATAAAGCAAAATGAATCTTGCTCTAAGCTATGATGTTTCTTTTTGACAAACAGTCAATGTACTAATTGAGGGGGAGCATACTTATCTGGATTATCTTTATTTGGATTATCCTATTATTTGGATTACCTCACCTAGATTATCATATTATCTGGATCATCATATTATTCGGATTATCTTATATATTTGGTTTTTCATAATATTAGAATATCATATTTGGATTCCTCGGTCACTCCGTCAGTCTCATTCCAGTATGATGATCACCTTTGTCAATCTATTGGACAAAAAGGGGGAGTAATAATTTACGGGGAGAGCCTCTTGGGCACTCTTTTGGTATATTGGATTATCTCTACTACGTGGTGAAATCATTTGGCCCTTATTTGACAAAAAAAAAGGGGGAGTATCAAGTTGAGGGGTATCAAGTTGAGGGGGAGTATCATTCTTTGGCAAGATCTCTGTTAAAAGAAGTGTGTGTTTTGTGAAACACTACTCCTGGCTGTTGACTAATCCATCTCTTGTGTCTATTATTATTTTTTTTTTGTAAGCAAATTTACTCATCTGGCAAACTATGTTTATGTTCATAGGCCGTTGGGTTCATTTGGTGGTCTATATGATCGATGGAAGGAACTAAGTCCTTAAAGCGATCACTCCCACTGATCAAGTCATCTTCAAGAAATTTAGCATTCCTTGATTCCACTATCCTAGTAGTATGAGATGGACAACAAAATCTATAACCCTTAGAAGATTGTGCATAACTAATAAAGAATGCACTAATCGTCCTTGGGTCAAGTTTCTTCTCGTGTGGATTATATATCCTCACCTCAGATGGACATCCCCAAACACACATATGTTGCAAACTCGGTTTCCAGTCTTTGAATAACTCAAACGGTGTCTTAGGAACAGCCTTGGTTGGAACACAGTTTAATATATACGTTGCCGTCTTAAGTACATCAGCCCACAACGACTTCGGAAGCTTAGAGTTACTAAGCATACTCCGCACCATATCCAGAAGGGTCCGGTTTCTTCTTTCGGCTACACCATTTTGGTCCGGAGAACGAGGCATGGTGTATTGGGCAACAATCCCATGCTCTTGAAGAAACTTAGCAAAAGGACCAGGTGCTTGTCCATTCTCAATATATCTACCATAATATTCACCACCCCTATTAGATCTAACTATCTGTATTTTCTTGTTACATTGGTTCTCAACTTTAGCTTTAAATGATTTAAAGGCATCCAATGCTTCAAGTTTATGATGAAGTAAATACACAAAGGAAAATCTTGAGAAGTCGTCAATGAAGTTGATGAAATATTTCTGACCAGGTATTGTCATATCAGGACAACATATGTCAGTATGAATAATTTCCAACAACGTTGAACTTCTATTGGCACCTTTCTTGGGCTTGTTTGTCTGCTTACCCTTAATGCAGTCATTGCAAGTCTCAAAATCGGTATAGTCTAGAGTAGAAAGTACTCCATCCTTTACCAACCTTTTAATACGCTCAAGGGAGATATGACCTAATCTCCGATGCCACAACATTGAGGATTTGTCATTAATACTGCAACGTTTAGTGCCCCGTTTTGAACATGTAAAGAATTATAAACTGAATTATTATTTAAGTTAAGACGGAAAAGACCATCAGACAATGTACCAGTACCAACACAAGTAGAATTACGAAATAACTTGAAATAATTGGTATTAAATTCGAATGAATATCCAAATGGTATAAGTCTAGAAACTGAAACTAAGTTCCTCGAAAAAGTAGGAACATAAAATGTCTTTTCTAATGTCGAAACAAAACCATTGTCCAAAACTAACGTGCAAACTCCGATAGCTTCGACTCGTGATGCAATCTTGTTTCGAGAGAAGATGCTACACTCAGTTCCCGTCGGTTGTCTCAGTTTTGTCATATCCTACAAGGAGTTTTCAATGTGGATTGTTGAACCAGAATCAACCCACCAAGAATTAGTATTAACTTATGACATATTAGACTCAAAACATACAAAAGAAGAGGAAATGTTACCTTTTTTGGACATCCATTTCTTAAACTTGATACAATCCTTCTTCGTGTGTCTCTTCTGTTTACAAAAGAAACACTTTTGTATCTTCTTAATGTCTGCTTTAGGGGTTAATTTCCCCTTAGCAGCCGAAGTAGATGCCTTAGACTTCCCAGATTTTTTCTTAAGCCTTGTTGTAGCCATTAAAGCACTTTCCCCAAGCTCAGACATAAGCCTTGTTTCCTCTTGAGTACACATGGTTATCAATTCATTGATAGACCAATACACCTTATGTATATTATAGGAAATTTTAAATTGGTTATTTTCCTGAGGAAGGGTATTTAGTGCAAAATGCACCACAAAAGTATCTGGCAGAATGATTTCCAACTTCTTTAACTGAGCCGCAATGTCCCTGACTTGCATAATGTGACTTCGCGTGCCCTTGACGGTGGAAAGACGCATATTGGTAAACTTCATTATTAGGGTACTGGCCAACGATTTCTTTGAGTCAGTAAATTGATCATCAATGGCCTTGAGCAAAGGTTCAATTTCCTCAATTCCATCAATGGAACCACGAACAACTCTAGAAATTTTTGTCTTAATGAGGTACACGCGCGATTGGATGTCTCCCATCACTCGTATAGCGCTTTCTATTCCTCAGTGCTTGCCACAGTAAGCGCGACAGACTTCTTATTGCGGATAGCATAATCCAACCCTAATATTCCCAAATTCAGGTGAATAGCATCTTTCCACTCGTTATGGTTATTGTCATTAAGGATTGGGACATCAATAGTGACAGGTAAAGTTGCAGGTAGAGTTGTTGTAAAGAATAATAATGAAAGCTTGGTTAGTATTTTCGATGCACAAAATAGAGAGAGATACTGAAGTACATAATATTACCAATATAAAATTATGCAAAATATAAATTTGGATGCCATAAAAATTACTTGTGGGCTAAATTTTTACGCATAATGAATCTACCAAAACTGAATGGTGGAAACAGAATGGGTACAATTTGAGTTTTTCCACCCTTAATGACAAAACTACCAAAACTATATACCGATACATAATCCCTGTGGGCAAATTATGATCATAGTATGGCATTTCATCGTAATTAGCCCTACAAATATAACAAAATTGCCTATGGGCTAAATTTTGCCATATTACGCAGAGTTAACTAGAATATTCTTGCCTTAACTTTATATGAGTGAACTTAATATGTAATTTCGGTAAATTAAAGATGTTGTGGCTACTCTTTAATTGACCAAACAACATAATCACTGTAGCAAGAAAGCCTAATAAACAAACATATATTAAACCAAAATATGATAGACAATCCTTAGGTATACTCCCAGGAAAGTTGGTCGAGACGAAGCTCGGTTAAAAACCAACTCCTTAGACAGAGTAGTGTCACAAGGGGACTAGTAGCAACAAGGATTTTAAGCTAGTACCATAGAACTAGTATTCCTCCCCAAGAAACTTCCCTAATTCATGTGTTCTCATTTATGAAGTAAAACCATTTGAGAGATCTAAAGAGTGTAGTTTCACCTATGGATAAGACTTTAAATAGGGTAAACTACGAATTGTTTATGTACTTTATGTGCTTTAGAAACTTTATAAAAGCACGAGTGGAGTAATAACCGAAGAGTAGAGTAATAATATGCGTAATCTAACCTGAAAGGTACTAATTCACCTAAAAGGCACTAAATCATGCAAAGCATATAATTCAGACCTAAAAGGCTCTAAATTTTTCTTAATGAACATGCTTTTCTACCGGCATAATTATAACAGTCAAATAATTATTGCAATAAAGAGATAAATAGCATGCTCAGATGATGCATATTACTCACAAATCTCCACAATTAAATTGCAACACTTAATACAATTTAAACTAAAAAACATTATTAAATTAAAATTCAACTGAATAATTATTCAAAATTGAATTTAATAATAGACTTAAATAAAAAAATTCAATTAGATAACTAAATTAGAAGAAGTCCAAATAAGATGAAGATATCAAACTAAAGGAATTGATAAAGTCCAAATATCAATTCAGGTCTGACCCAAAACCAAAACAGGCCCAGATTTAAATCCTTTTGTTTTTAATAATAATAATGAGCCCAGGTCTGGCCCAGTAATAATAATGATCTCCAGGTCGTCAACACCGATGAACAGTAGCCAGAAGAGATCGTCGGCGTCGAGGAAGGAGAGTAGACAGCAGCAGCGTAGCCGGGAGCCCCACCGCAGTCGCCGCCGACTGGTCTCGACTCAACGCCAACACCTCTGTCGTCCATCCGCCGCCTGCCGAAGCTCTTGTGCGTCGCCGTCACTCCATCGTCCGAGATCCATCGTCGACAGAAATCGAAGTAGAAAGACGGAAATCACTTGTGTAAAGAAAAAAATCATCGTCTTACACCTCAACAATGGCTACGGTGATATAGAGTGCAGACACAGTAGAAAGCCAAAAAAGAAATTCCAATTGATTTTTATTTCTTAATACGGAAAAAAAAAACTTAATTTTTCAACAGCCCAGACATACAATTGCATACAATTATTCAAATACGTATCTCAAATATTCAAATATTATATATATATATATATATATATATATATATATATATATATATATATATATATATATATATATATATATATAGGGTTGCATTCACATGCAAACACCCTTAAAATACAAACTTGTGGACAAATTAGAATCATAAGATTGGAGAAGATTAACAGATGAGATCAAAGGAAACTAACAGATTAAAGAATCTAAATCAGTGTTTAATTAGTGTTAGTAAGGGTAATTATGGCAAAATAGAAAGAAGCTAATTATGGATAATATTAAATATGGATATTAGTCTATAGTTGAAGAAGTCTTTGCATGGTAGGCTTCAATTACCTACATATTCATGCCCACACCCCGTCATACGCCAATCCTACCCAGACATCAACCCCACCCCCCTCCCCCCCACACAAACGGCTATCCAACGCAGCAGTGAGGCGAAACGACATGGAGGCGAATCAAGAGAACATGGCGACAGCAACCCCATGTAAAAACTACGAAAAAAAGTATATATGTTAAATGACGTATGTTCGTTGAATTTTATATAGTGTGAATCAAGAACATCAATTGGAAGTTATTTACTGAGTATGATAGTGCTCGCATTGAGCACAAAAAGCGACAGATTAGTACGCATGTGATACAGAACGCACACTGAATATGGTTTTTGTGCACACACAAAGTATAATGCACACGGTAGCATACATGAATACGTTTGTGCGCAGACGGACGAGACATGCCACTGTACCAATGAAGTAAATTTACTGAACATGGTGCAGTAACATAACAAACTCAGAGCAAAGTTGATACTTCTAAGTGCACACACGTAGATTCGTAAATGCACACATTTGAACCTGTGGTAAACCAGGTGCACAGGTCGAAGGAACTATGTGCACGTATTAATGTAAATCGGAGAGCATGATGGGTTCCATTGAATTGCTTAATGTGTGCATTCACGAACAGATTTTAGTGTTTAAAAGAAAAGGACGTAGACGATAACTGAGAAAAACCCCATGCGTTACGTGTCTGGTAATGAATTAGAATGATGTGTGCACGGGTTGACACCCTGCAAGATATTGTGCAACACCAAGTTTCAGCAGGTGCAAACCTAATCAATGAATGGAATGATCCGTACATTTGGGCAGAGGGTTAAACGAATACTGTGCTCCCAGAAAACTACCGAGTGCACCCAACTGGAGAACACATGCTTGTAAAGAAAGGGAAAATATCACTGAAGGAAAAAATGACATCACTTTACGAAATGAATATGGATACCAAATAATAAAAATAAAAAATAAAAAATGTACTATAGGTTGAATGAAATTGTAAGTGTTAGAGGCAATAAAACAAATTTATATACAAGATTGCCCAAAAAACATCAATTACGAACATACGCATATGCTCTAGCTAAATATAAACTGACAAAATATATTCAAAGCATGTGCATGCACAAAAAACCACCGCACAAAAAATGTTAACATTACAAGTGTAGTCAACAACATGCAAGAACCCCCAGGAGTACATAGTGGTAATTGCATCCCTACAAAGAAGTGAGCGAAGTGCTGATAGATTGGTACATAATGTCATCCTTTTGCTCGGATGACAAGTCTCTAAGCTCACCAACCAACACGCCAGCCGGGAACCTAATCTTGACCCTAGGAAACGTTGCATCATCTTTTGTAGTCAGCTCATCATCGGGGGCATTCGACATAGGGTCTTCTTGCAACCTAGCAAGAAAGGCCAAGGTAGTGAGACAAAGTCATTGTTGTTACAACAACTCTATGATCTACCAGGACCACACTGTGCAACATTCGACTTCTTACCTGAAGCAAAGACAATACTTATACCCACAAATGCACACAGCTAAACCACACATCCAGCTAGAGTGAACACATCCAAAATAGAGTAAAAACATATTACAAAAAAACCCATAGTACAGTATAGAATAAGACTGCACACAATCATACCCCACCATGCACACGAGTAATACAAACCTTAGAAATCACAAAACACGAACAATTAAAAAAGCTAAAACAACATTGTACATTATAGAGCAAAGTACACACATTTACACCTACCCAATGCACACAGCTAAACCACACACCCAGCTAGAGTGAACATATCCAACATAGATTAGAAACACTTTATAAAAAACCCATAGTGCAGCATAGAATTAGACTGCACACATCCATACCCCACCATGCACACGGTTAATAGAAACCGATAGTAAAAAAAACTTGAACAACATTGTACATTCTATAACAAAGAACACGCACTCGTACCCACCCATGCATACACCTAAACCACACACCAAGGCTACAGTTGTCATATCCAACATAGAGCACAAATAATGGAAAGAAAACCAAAAACACAATGCAGAATAAGACTGCACACATTCATACCCCACAATGCACACAGTCATGCCCCACAATGCACACAGTCATCTCCATCTACTTATCTTCTTAACTTCAACATCATTAGGAAAAACTACGTAATCAAAATCAAAACACTAACAAATGAAACAAAGACTCTTAATCGAATTGCATAATAATCTGCCAAGTGAACAATGAATTAACATGCTAACATAGGTATATAAATTCTACCACAAATGCTCCCTTGCTCTGTAATTTGAATCAAACAATAAATTCAAACATTTCAGCAACCATGTTTTGACAACGAAAATAGAAAAAGTCCCACATAAAAGAAATTTTAAATAACTACTTTAATTATATAACTAACATATTTAAATAAAATTTGTAAATAAAATAACAGGCAATATTTGTCGAAAATCTCCACAAAAAACTTATTCGTTTGAAAAAGATTATTTATGTAAGAACTATATTAATTTTATATCTAAGTTCTCCTCTTGATATATGTGGAGTCAAATTAATTATAATTGAGGTTTAAATGAATATATACACAAATTATATGCCATTGAACTGTCTAAACTGTCACTGACCTGTCGGTTGTTTAAGCACTCAGCAACAGAGCAGCGTAGAAGGAACAAGATCAATGACATGCATGTTTTACAATAGCTACAAAAGAAAGTAATCCTTTAGTAGTTACTAATTTAGTCAATCCAAAATAACATGGTTATATGATTGCATTTTAGTTACTTCTACAGTGTACTTTTTTCAATTTTATTTATTGATGCTCTTCTTTGAAGTTTGGCTTATGATCTTATGAATTGATCATAATATTATACCTTAGTTGAATATAAATCTTCCTAAATATATATAAATATTTAAACTGAAATGGTGTCAGTGTACAACTGGATATTTAGCATTTCTACTTTCATTATGCATATTTCAGATGCTGAGAGATATCATCCCACACAGTGACCACAAAATTAATTAAAAAAAAAAACCTTAGCAACCGTAGCTACATTGAACTGCAGGTGGCCGTCGAAACCACCAAACCACTAAACTGCCTAGAATACCCAATTAACGAACAACCCAGCCATTCCATCGCCCCACACCCCACCCCACCAATTCTGTCCAGAAAATTTAAAAAATAAACCCCAATGACCGCCGCAAAATTGAACTGCAGGTGGCCGCCGACAGACATAAAAACAACAGAAAAAACGATGGAGGAAACATGCAACACCCCAGCCCCTGATGGCAAAAACCCCCTTCACCATCAAACAATACACACACGATGCGTAAAAAGAAGGAAATCCCCAACAAAACAAGACAAAAACGAACGAAACACAAAAACCCACAACAACAAAAAATAAAAATAAACACCAAAAACGACGAGAATACATACCTGGGCCGAGTCATCGAACCTGTAGTCCCCGCCTCTTCGATGCGCCGAGGTCCCCACCTTTTACCATTGCTACGTGGAAGTGAAAAGCGCAAGATGAAACGAGAAAACGACGCGAAGCCTGGATACGTGAAGCACACACGAAACGAGAGCGAGAAGCGGACTGCCGAAACTGATAAGTCTTGCGCGTGGAAGAAGAAAAAATGGACTGATTTGACTAGGTCTGAAACAAAAATAAAATACCACAAATACCCCCAACACAAAAGAATTAAAAGCCTTAACATAAAAACAACCTTCACACGCGAAAAATTCAGGACCAATCTGGACCATTCAATCTCACCATCCAATGGCCTCATATTGTCCACAGGTTTGTATTTTAAGATGTGTTTTTACCTGAATGTAATTCTATATATATATATATATATATATATATATATATATATATATATATATATATATATATATATATATATGCAATTAAAAGAACCAGGATCGTACTAACCTCCAGCCATAGTTCTTGTATTGATGATGATTGAATGATCCGGACTACTGTAGAGATAACACTATAGATGTTCACCAAGGAGTATTACAAGAGGTAAGTAGAAATGGCCCTCAGCCTTTACCACTACAACTCTTCCTAACACCTATTCAGGACTGAACTGTGCATGCCATAGCAATCTTCAAGCGAAGCTTCAGCTGTACCAGGTACTGTCTGTGCAGACCAGAATTGAACTACAATAATAATAATATAATTTAGCTGATTAATTTAAATAGCACTTGTGTAGATTTCACTCATTATAGCAGTTCACAAAATTGACAACTTTCTACTTTGGTTATGCTTCCTTTTATAGCAGTATGCAACCCTTTGTTGTGATCCATATAATTAGCACTTCATGATCTTCATTTAACCAAGGCCACACGTTCTATTTTGAATGCCACATAACCCGTACTGCATTTGTTGACTTCTCTTTCCCAATCCGCAAATAAATTATAGCCATGCAAAATAAAGTATGATTGGAAATGGTCCAAAAAAGAGGTGATTTAAAATAAACAAATCTACTTAATTCTAATTAAGGTAGGACTAAATAAATTCGCCAACAAGGTTTAATGTGTACTAAAATTGTACACTTACAATCTCCCCCTTTGGCAATTTATTTGGTAAAACTATAGTATCTTATACTTTGGGCAAAAATAGAAAATAATTTAATTTTATTTAAGGCCCTTAGTATATGTACTAAACAAAAACTTGATGAGGAAAACAAATAACAAAAAAAAACCCTTTTGGACCATGTTCCATCTGTGAACCTGTTGTAACTCAATAGTCATGTACTGTCGAATATCCCATGAGATGTCGCGATTCAGACTAATAGAATTAT